AGCGGCCACTGCACTCCAGTCTGGGCGACTGAATGAGACTCCAACTCAAAAAAAAAAAAGTTACCATAGAATTGGAGGTGGGAGTACCTGTTGGACTTTTAAATAAAGTGGACGGGGAAGGCTTCGCTGCCTTGACTACAGGAGGTGAGGGAGTTAGCCTTGGATGTGTCTGGAGGGAGAGGAATCTAGGCAAAGTTCCAGGCTGTGCAAAGGCCCTGAGGTGGGAGGGTGCTTGGTACATGTGAGGAACGGCAAGGAAATTGGTGTGATTGGGACACAGTGAAAGGGAGAGTGGTAGGAGGTGAGGTCAGAGAAGTGAAAGGATGGGTCCTGTAGGGCCTCAAGGGCCACAGTGAAGATGGTGCCTTTTCCCTGAGAGAGAACTCAGAGAAAACATGAGAGGGTTGTGAACAGAGGAGATTTGTACCCAGCTCTGGCTGTAGCAGGACCCCTCAGGCTATTGTGAGCAGTGTGAGGTGCGGGAGTGGAAGCAGAGGCCCCAGGGGGAGGAAGCCACTGCAGTAGTCCAGGTGAGTAGTGACAGTGGGGGCAATGGTAGAGACAGAAGCAGATCGAGTCTGGAGACCTTTTGAAAGTAGATTTGCTAATGGCTTGAACATGGGTGTGAGAAGAGGGTGTGAGGGTGGGATGGGGTCAGAAGCAACTAAGGTTTTAGGTATGAATGGTCAGAAGGATTAGATGGGATGGGGAGTACGGTGGGGGGAGCAGCTTTGGGAAGGAAGCCGGGAGTTTGCTTCGGGATGTTGGAAACATCGAGTCTGGTCTCTGAATCTGGAATTCCAAGGAGCAGTCTGGGCTGCAGGTGGAAACGATCATGATGCTTGTGCTTGAGGTTGTTTTGAGCATTAAAATTAGTTCCTAAAGGTTAGGAACTCAGAATGTGTGTCCAGTTGGCAGATAGTAATTTGTACCCAGAACCTTAGCAGTAAGCCAGCCTGAGAAATGTTTGTAGCTTTTAATCTGTCTGGTACAAGAAGAGGCCTAGAGCTGGCTGGGCTTCCTAAAACTCTTCCTCTCGCCGCAGTAACTGGCCTCCATGATGTCGATGAGTACATGCAGGCCCAGCTCCTCCTAGCTGTGAGTAACCCTGGCCACCCCTGACCTACTTTGGCCCCCTCCTGGCTGTCTCCACCTCAGCCTTAGTCATCTGTCCTGCCCACAGGCTCTGAACATTGCTACACATGTCTTGAAACCAGGGGGCTGCTTTGTGGCTAAGGTAAGTCTTGGAGAACCTAGTGGAGTGTAGAGCGAGGTCCCTGAGGACCGCCCTCACCCCTCCATCTTTGCCTCCCCACCCTGCAGATCTTCCGAGGCCGAGATGTAACGCTCCTCTACAGCCAGCTGCGTGTCTTCTTCTCCAGTGTGCTCTGTGCCAAGCCCAGGAGCAGCCGGAACTCCAGCATCGGTTAGTGGGGTGGAGGGGCCAGGCAGGCGGAGGGAGATCTCTGGGACACAGCCTGTACTGAGTGGAAGTAGCAGTCACCCCTCACTCCACATTCCCCCCCACCCCCCAGAGGCCTTCGCTGTCTGTCAAGGTTATGACCCTCCGGAAGGCTTCATGCCGGACCTGACCAAACCTCTGCTGGACCACTCTTACGGTGAGAGCCAGAGTCCCCAAGGAAACTCTGCCCCCTTATGCAATTTATGTTCCATGAGGACCCACAGCCTCACCCCCTGGTGGAGACTCTGTCCCCTTAGGGGCTTTCTTTCCCAGGAGGATCCTCAGTCCCACTGGTTGGTGGAAATTCCACCCCTTTATGGATATCTTGTCCCAGAAGGATCTTCGGCCCAATTAGGCCCCTAGTGATTACTCTTGGACCTGATGAAAATTCTGTCCCAGAAGGATCCTGAGCCCTGCCCCGGTGGAGACGCCACCTGCCTAAAGAAATTCTATCTTGGGAAGACTCTCAGTCATATCCCCAGATGGAAACCTCACCCCTGTGTGAAACTTTGGACGTGTAAGAGTCTTTAGCCTCACGCCTAGTGGGAAGACACAAAGAGCCTGCCTTCGTGGAGATCACATTTTAGTGAGTGTGACACAGTCCAGGCAGCATATAATCAAATGCTAAGTGGACACAAGACAGTGAAAAAGCAGTAGGGGGCTGATGTTTTAAAGAGAGTGATTATAGTGGACCTCCCTGAGGGAGTGACCTGACCCCAATGAAAGATTTCTGGTGGAGGGGTGAGAGAATAGCTGGTAGATCTGTGCAGAGGGCTTGGCACCCATGCTGTGGCCTATGTCGTGACTGGCCCCAGGCGTCCCAGCCTCGTCCTCAGTCATCTTTCCCTGCTTCTAAGACCCAGATTTCAACCAACTGGATGGTCCCACCCGCATCATTGTGCCCTTTGTGACCTGTGGGGACCTGAGTTCCTATGATTCGGATCGAAGTTACCCACTAGACGTGAGTGCCCAACCAACGGTAGATGGGTGGGGCTGTCCTGGGTTCCAAGGTCGTCACCATCTCTCCACCCCTTGTGTTCCTGCAGCTGGAGGACGGCTCAGAGTACAAGTACACTCCACCCACACAGCCCCCCATCTCACCACCGTACCAGGAGGCCTGCACATTGAAGAAGAAGGGGCGGCTGGCCAAGGAGATCCGCTCCCAAGACTGCCCCATCAGCAAAGTGGACAAGTTGACCCAGCCCTTGGCCGCCCCTCAGCGCCACACCCTGCTGGCCCCTGAGGTCTGGAAACGTGGCTCTGAGCCTGCACTGACCCCTTCCCAGTTTGCCTCTTTCTGCCCTGAATCACATGGTTTCTGGGGCTCAGATTCTCTTTCCTGCCTCCCAATAACTATAAAAATCACTGGGTAAAACCAGACATAATGAGTGGAAAAGTTTAGCCAAATATCTGAGTCCCTTTTCTTTTTTTGGAGTAGATGGAAGACAATGAAATGAATTGTTCACCTTGATCCATTAAGGTAAGTTTGCCTTTTTTTTCTTTTTTTAATTTTTATCAATATTTTTTATTATGATGTTGTGGGGTACAGTTAAGGGTTAGGTATACAATTACGTTTCATTCAGGCACCCTGTTGATAAGAGGTGTTTCCCCGTCCCCAGACAGATATTTGCTACTGTTAATCCCATCTTCCTCTCCCCACCATAGTTTCCCAGTACCATCAGTCATTTTCTTATAGTATTACATTGGATGTTCAAGGTCCATTATATGAGTGAGACCATGTGATACTCAGATCTTTATTTCTGTGAGAGGTCACTCAGTATTATAGACTCTAGTTCTATCCAGGTTACTGCGAAATTCATGATTTTGTTCTTTTTTATGGCTGCGTAGTATTCCATCGTGTATATGTACCATATTTTTTTAATCCAGTCCTCTTTTGATGGGCAGCATGGTTGCTTCCAGGTTCTTACTATTGTGAACAACGCTGCAATAAAAAAGATACCTGCACACGCATGTTTATCACAGCGAAGTTTGCCTTTTTAACTAAGGGTTTGAATAAAGACCTTTAAGAAAAAGCTTAGTAAAACTTCACCTTTAAAATTTAGATGTCAGCTCCTAAAATTTTAATCAACAACCTTGACTAAGCATCTGTTGTTGTATACCAGCAACTGCTTTAAGCATTTTGCATATTCCATATCAAGACATTCGGTAAACATTTATTGAGCACATACTGTGTACCAGGCATTGTTGTAGATTTGGAGATAGAGCAGGAAGCAAAACCAAATATCTTGGCCTTCACAGACCTTCTAGTTTAGGGAAGAGGCAAAAAAACAATAAAACAGTCTATGAGTGTGGAAGTTATAGCTTGTTCTCTATACACATGTCAAAGTGATACAGGATACAAAAAATTTTTTAAAGTAAGGCAGAGTGAGCCGGGCTCGGTGGCTCAGCCTGTAATCCCGTGCCTTTGGGAGGCTGAGGTGAGTGAATTGCCTGAGCCCGCGGGTTCGAGACTCTCCTGGGCAGCGAGACCTCATCTCTACAATAAATCAAAAAATCAGCCGGGCGTGGTAGCGCGTGCCTGTAATTCCGGCTACTTGGAAGGCTCGCCGGAGCCCAAAAAAAAAAAGTAAGGCAGGGTAAAGAGAATCAGGAGTCTAGGCATGGCAGTTTGCACTTTGTTAAAGGGTTGTCATGGGAGGCTTTACTGAGATAATGTTTTAGCAAAGGCCTAAAGGCTCTGAGAGAGGGAATTCGTATGTTTATTTGGGTGGAGGAACTTGCCAAGTCTCAAAAGGGAACCTACACCTGGTGTGGGAGGAAGCATCGAGGGAGCCGGTTTACCCATAGCCAAATGGGCTAAAATTAAGGGTTTGAATAAAGACCTTTAAGAAAAAGCTTAGTAAAACTTCACCTTTAAAATTATGGGTTTACCCATACCCAAATGGGCTAAATATTAGAGAGCAGCCCTTTCTGATGATGGCCCAGTAGGTTACTCAGACTAAGTCTTCCATTTAAAAAACACACCTTTAAAAATATTGAAACAGCAAATCACAGTGGGAAAAGATACTTATAGTCTCTAATATTTAAAAAATCTTATAAATCAATAAGGAAGAAAATATTGGAATGGCCGTAAGCACATGAGAAGCTACTCCTCAGGAAAATGCAAGCTAAAAGTAAAAAGGTTGACCACACTAAGTGTTTGGAAGGATTTGCAACAATTGGAACCCTCCTGCACGTTGTTGGTAATATAAGATGGTGAAGCCACTGTAGAAGGCTGTTGGGCATTACCTACTAAAGCTGTATGTTTGCCAATTCCACACCTAAGAACTGAGTACTAGAATGTTCCTAGTAGCAATATTTGTAGTACCTCACTAAATTGTGGTACATTCACAATGGAGAACTACACAGCAATGAGAATGAATATCCTACAATTATACCATACAACTTAATATTTATTTATTAAATTGAACATACATGTTTTTTGCATTTTTCTGTATGTTGCAATTCACAATAAAAGGGGAAAAGTCACAAAAAGTGTTAGCAGCAGACTTAGCTGGGTATGATAATGCACTCCTGTAGTCTCAGCTACTTGGGAGGCTAAAGCGGGAGGATTGCTTGAGCCCAAGAGTTCAAGGCTGAAGTGAGCTAGGATCATGTCACTGCATGCCAGCCTGTGCAACAAAGTGAGACCTCATCTCTCAACAAAGTGGTAGCAGCTTAGTGGACATTGATTAAAGCAGAAGAAAGTGGGAACATGTATTTTAGTTTAAAACTTTCTTTTTCTTTGACCTTTGGTTAGCTGGCAAGCTGCTACGACTCAGAAACTACTCAATATCAGGACAACCAGAACTTGGGTTGATGAACTTGTTTTTAGGTATCATCTCATCAGCGGGGCCTGAACAAACAAGCCCTGAGTAGGAATCTGCAGCAACCACCGCTAAGACAGCAAGGACAGAAGTACCACAGAAGTCTGTCTGTGCTGCCGAGGGAATTCTTGAGTGAAGTCTTACCTCTTCTCTAAACCTCTTCGGGCTTCCTAACTTGGATAGAAATCGGGATGTCCATGAATTTGATGGAAGAAAATGGTACATCTTTATTTTCACTACTATAACTGAGGTTTAGCCTTTTTACCAGTTGCAAATGTTGGCAACAAATCTCAGTAGTACAGGCAACACCTGGGATATTCCCACAGACAAATCAGTTCCTTTTCTGTTACATTACAGTTGTTGCAGGCATCTTGGAATATTGTTCACGTTCACTGTGACTGGGAATGATAGCAGACCTTATCATTTGATGTACTAATAAAAGAGCCCATACACTGCAGCTCAATTGTGTTTCTGTTCACTATATAGTGGTCATTGTGTTTCTTCTGTGGTAATCCTGTGTATTTGTGTGCTTTTAAAAATATTCTTAGCCGGGCTCGGTGGCTCAGCCTGTAATCCCGCGCCTTTGGGAGGCTGAGGTGAGTGGATTGCCTGAGCCCGCGGGTTCGAGACCCGCCTGGGCAGCGAGACCTCATCTCTACAATAAATCAAAAAATCAGCCGGGCGTGGTAGCACATACCTGTAATTCCGGCTACTCGGAAGGCTGAGGCGGAAGGATCGCCGGAGCCCGGCAGGTCGAGGCTGTGGTGGCCGGGAGCGGCCACTGCACTCCAGTCTGGGTGACAGAGTGAGACTCCAACTCAAAAAATATATATATATATTCTTTGAAGGGATCCACATATTTAACCAGATGCCAAAGGGTTCCCCAGAATAAATTTTTTTTAAGTTAAAGACCCCTCTATTAAACTGTCAAAAAGTCTGCCTTGACTGCAGTCCTGAGTTTCTACAACTTGACAAAGAGGAGCCAACAGAAACTCCCCAGTGCTATGGGCAGAACTGCTTTGTGCAGCTTAATCCTCTGTCTCTAGAAACTCAACATTCTCTGTGACCCAAGCACTATCCACACCCCATTCCAATGACATCAGAAGTAGCCATATGCCAATCTGACCCCAGGTGTTTCCATACCTGACTATGACCCAAGGAGTTGCCATACCCCAGTCTATGTGACTGCAGGAGTGCCCACACTCAAGTGTGGGGTGAGCTGTGCCCAATCCCTAATCAGAAATGGTGTTTAAACTCTCGAGTGTGTGTTTATAGGTGTGCCTACACTCCAACCTCTGACCACAGGAATAACCACACCCCAGTCTGTGTGAGTCTAGGAGTTCCCACACACAGTGATTTAACCCAGGAGTCTTCTCACCTAAGTCAGTGTGACCACAGGAATGCCCACACCCCAGGAATATGCACAACCCAGGAATGTATGGCAGAAGTGTCCACACCCTTTACAGTGTGACTTCAACAGTGTTCATGCAAGAGTCTGTGAGACTCCAGGAGTGTGAGTCTAGCAGTGGCAATGACTTAATCTATGGCCACAAGAGTTTCCACACTCCGGTGTTAGTGGCGTCATAAGGGTGCATACCTTAAATTATCATCTCAAAGGTGTCCAAACTTCAGTCTAGGTGGCCCCACAGATGCCCACAGCTCAGTCTGTGGTGTTCTGGGAGTGGTTTTGCTCCAGTCCAGCAACTTCTGGAATGTCTGCTCCCCAATCTGCCACCCCAGGAGTGTCCACACCAAGTTTTTGTGACAGAAATAATGCACAATTCCCAGCGTATGTGCCCTGGTGTCCAAGCCCCATAGTCACTGGCCATAGGTGTATATACGTCAGTCTCAGTGGCATCAGGAGGATGTATTCCCCCATCTGTGTGTTTGTAGTACCTCACTAAATCATGGTACATTCACAATGGAGAACTACACAACAATGAGAATGAATATCAATTCCCCCTGTCAATGTGACCACAGGAGTGTGAAACCAGTACCTGTGACTACTGGTGCATTCACATTTTGGTCACCCAGGACACACCCATGTCTGTGTGACCAAAGATGTCTCCACACCCCAGTGTCTGCGACCACAGGGGAGTCAATTCCCATCAATTTGACCAGAGGAGTGCCCACACTAAATTGTGTGACCATGAGACTGTCCACACCTATCTGTATGTCCTGAGAGGTACATATACCCCAGTGGATGTGACCCCAGTAGTGTCCACAACACAATCTGTGTGACTCCAGGAGTGTCTCTATCTGTGTCAGTGTGAGTCTAGAAATGACCACACCAAGTCTCTGGGATCCAGGGGTGTCTCTTCTACAGTCTTTGTGAATCAAGGAACATTCACCTCCTACCCCCATCTGTGTGACCTGAAGGATACCACAGCCGGGTCCGTGTGACCCCAGCAGAGTCCACGTCACAAGTCGTATAACCATAGGTACGTACCCAGGTAGACCCACAGGAACCCAGGGGTATCCACATCACAGTCATATGACCACAGTAGTGCCTACTTCCCAGTTTATGTGACCTCAGACATGTCCTTGTCCCAGACTGTGTGACCCCAGGTGTCCAATGTCCTTGTCCCAGACTGTGTGAACCCAGGTGTCCACACCCAAACTAGGTGATCCAAGAGGTATCCAACTCCAGTCTGTGAATGATGTTGTCCACACACCAATCTGTATGACCCTAAGTGAACACATCCCAGGATACTTTGAGAGTGGTCACACCCCATTCTGCATGACCTCAGATACATCCACATCCCAATCTGGGTGACCCCTTAGAGTCTCCACCCTAGTGTGTGACCCCAGGAGTGTCTACGCTACAATCAGCGTGACCCCAGTATTTCCTACTCTCAAGTCTAGTGACATCATGAGCAGCTATACCCACAACCGTGTGAGCCAAGGAGGAATCACATCCCAGACTATGACCCTGGGAGAGTCCATACACTCATCACTGTGAACCCAGGAATATACTCTTCCCAGACAGTGTGACCTCCAGAGGGTATGTCTAGAGGAAGAGTGAAAGGGAGGGGTCCGTGCAAAGGCCCCGAGACAGGAGCACACTTGGCACATTTGAGGAAAAACGAAGAGAGTCATGGGGCAGGAGCAGGGTGAGAGAGGGGCCGGTGGTAGGGGGTGAGGCCAGAGAGGTCCTGTAGGCATTCATGGGCCACGAAGAGGACTTTGACTTTCTCCGTGAGAAAGACGGGAGCCATGGCAGAGCTCTGAGGGCTGTGTGCTGACTTAACAGGATCTCTCTGGCTGTTGTGGTGGTTACCCAACTGTTTTTGTCAAAACTCAGAGAACTATATGTTAAAAGGCATACAAAATTATAATTCTTTATAACTTTTCTTTCAAGTGCAATACAGTACTTTGCAAGCAATAAAGAATTATATATCTACAAGAGAGGTGGTGACTATACCTGTCCCTCCTGTCCATGTGCTTTCTGTGCAGACACATCTCCAGAATGTCTCCAAGGAGAGTGAGGATCCATGACCTAGGGCAGTTGCCCAAGGTTTTGTTTGAAGTCTACTCAGACTGAACTGTGAATTCTACAAATCTCATGTCGAAGCCCCAGTCCCCACTGCGACTGCATTTATTTATTTATTTTTCCTCTTTTAATTTTTATTTTAAAATTGTGGGGTACAATTTAGGGTGAGGTATACAAACATCCATTGTGCAGGTACCCTTGCTGATGATATGTGCCCCTCCTTCCGCAGGCAGATATCAACTCCTGTCAATCCCACCTCCCCACCCCCTCTTCCCCCACCACAGTTTCCCGCTACTGTCAATCCTTTTCTTATAATATTATGGTAGTTGTTCAAGGTTTGCTTATGAGTGAGAACATGTGATACTCAGATCTTTGTTTCTGTGAGAGATCACTCAGTATTATAAACTCTAATTCCATCCAGGTTGCTGTGAAGTTCGTGATTTTGTTCTTCTTTGTGGCTGCGTAATATTCCATTGTGTATATGTACCACATTTTTTTTTTTTGAGTTGAAGTCTCACTCTGTCACCCAGACTGGAGTGCAGTGGCCGCTCCCAGCCACCGCAGCCTCGACCTGCTGGGCTCCGGTGATCCTTCCACCTCAGCCTTCCATGTAGCTGGAACTACAGGTGCGCGCTACCACACCCAGCTAATTTTTTGATTTATTGTAGAGATGAGGTCTCGCTTGCTCGGGCGGGTCTCGAACCCACGGGCTCAGGCAATCCACTCACCTCAGCCTCCCAAGGCACGGGATTACAGGCTGAGCCACCGAGCCCGGCTGTACCACATTTTTTTTATCCAGTCCTCTTTTGATGGGCAGCACGGTTGGTTCCATGTTCTTGCTATTGTGAACAATGCTGCAATAAACATACATGTGCAGGTATCTTTTTTATAGAGTGATTTGAGTTCTTCTGGGTATATTCCCGGTAGGGGGATTGTGGGGTCATATGGAAGGTCGATTTTTAGAGCTTTTAGGAATCACCACACTGATTTCCACAGAGGCTGCACTAGTTTACACTCCCACCAACAGTATAGAAGTGTTCCCTTTTTGCCACATCCTCTCCAGCATCTGTTATTTTTTGAGTTATTGATGAAGGCCATTCTGACTGGAGTTAGGTGGTATCTCAGTGAAGTTTTAATTTGCATCTCCTTGATGACTAGTGAGGCTGAACATTTTCTTATGTATCTATTGGCTGCTCATATGTCTTCTTTTGAGAACTGTTTATTCATATATTTTGCCCACTTTGTAATTGGGCTGTTTGTTTTTTCCTTTTCAGCACGTTTGAATTCCTTGTAGGTCCTTGATGTTATGCCTTTGTCAGACATGGAGTTGGCAAATATTTTTTCCCAGTCTGTGGTCTGTCTCCATGCTCTCTTGATGGTTTCTT